AACGACTAGTCGGGTTGTTACATAAATCATTTTGCTAAACCAGTTGTGAAGTAAACCAACTTATCAAGATAAACTATCTTGAATAGAAAATCTGAAAATTATGCTCTAAATTAAATTATTGAGCAAGTTATCACGCAAACACCAGGTTGCGGATTAATAATAATCGCACATGTAACTATCTCATAGAGCATCTTACGTGGTATACATGGCGGGTGAACGGGCTCATATTCACCTTTGATATTTCCAGCATTCGTGGGATTCAATCCCAATTTTAGTTGGTCTATTAATCAATGAGAACAAGCAATATAAGAGAATTCGTAAAGAACTTTCTAGTTCTTTAATATTTTTTCATGTGAATTCTCTTTGATTTTTGCACATCATACTTAAAATTGATATGGATAAATCAGTTATGCCAACTGTATAAATAATCAATATTGATAAACTTCAGGTTTACACCATAACGTGTGTAATTATCAATAAACTCCAAGTTTATTATGATATGGGTTTTTATGTCAATAAACTTTAACTTTATTGTGGCATTTCTTTTATTTTATGTAGTACAAATTGAAAAATAAACCGGGTAGTTTTTCACATACATTTCACCTCGCTACAAGTTGTAGTAATAGAAGATATTAAATTTTTCCTTTATTTATAGTCTCATATAACCAACCGCCTTCGTGAATACTTTAGAAACTCAATTAAGTTTCTTTGAGACTTACTACAACACAATGTCTTATTGATAATCAATGTTATTCCTCCAAAATAGTAATAATTGGCTATTCCAAAGCTCGCAATTAATTTGGTACTACCACATATTCATCAACATCCATATGGTGAATATCTCTTTTAAAGAAAAAGTTATAAATTATGGTCATTGTCAAAATTATATGCAAGATCTATTTCTTGCATTACTATTATCCTTTAGTAATCATATTGCCAAAATATTTTGGCGTACAATAGATGACCATTCATGCCACAATAATGATATTTTTTTATATCATCTTAAACCTCCTTCTAAAGGTGAGTGTTGTATATCCACTACCACTAGTACGTTCATATTCTTCGAAGAATGAATATGTATTCGTAAATCAGATGTTGTCACATTCACATCATGAATGGACCATAATCATCTATATGTGCTTTACAAAATCTCATGTCAAATCGATGACAAATATTACTTTCACAGAGTGAAAGATTATTTTGAGAATCCTTATTATTCTCATTACCACAATGATGACGATTATAATTTTGTCTATTGCCACGTCCACATCCATTGATACATTCATAGTAATAATTTTGTCTTCTTTCAGACTTATCACATACTGCTATCACATTCTCTTATGAGAATGAGAATGAAGCAAATCCAGTGGGACGGGTTTCCAATTATTTGCCCACAATCATACATGAATTTGATCATGGCAAGGCATAGAAATTTTACCACTTTGGGTGGTTATAATTTCTTTCAAACTCCATTAGAGTTACAATCAAAATTTATCGTCTTTGCTTGTATTTAAAATCAAATTATAGAATGTCAAGAATTTAAAAGAGAAAAATAAAGTAAATACTTACCTTAAATCCAGAATTTAATCATGAAGGAAGTTCATGGAACAATTGACAATCATTATAGTCAATCCCAAAGCTTCCACTGAATTGGTTAGAGTCTCGTGCTGATAATGTGCTATAAAACAATAAAAGAAGAATATTCCAAAGAAAGACAGAGAGAAAGAGAGAGAATTCTTATTGATTTTGGGATGAATTACAATGAAATAAAATCATTTTATTTATAGGGAAAACTCCAGCACATTATGAAATTCCAGCATATTGTGCTAGAATCTCATATGTAAAAAATTCGGAAATAAAAAATCAGAGTTTTAAGGGTGTTTTTGTTTAAACTTAATCTTTACATGAAAAAGTTATTAAATTTGGATTACTTTTAAAACTGTGATTATTTTTCAACTATCAGATGTAAATCTAGTTGTCTTTGATTTTTTTGGGGTATTATCGCTTTTAGCCGGCGACAGAAACTATTTACATTTGGTAACTGAAAAAGTTTATAAAATTTGTATAATTTTGTAGTTAACATACAAAGTGTGTGTGTGTGTATATATATATATATATATATATATATATATATATATATATATATATATAGTCTTTTTTTGCTATTATTTTTATAGCGGTAATACAGTGTCATTTTTCCTTTTGTTCCCCGGGATTACCACTTCCCTTTGTCAAGCAATGACATTACGACGACATATCACATGGGTTTGTCTCTAATTGTGGGCATATTACCAATGTCACATCAAATATTTATATTTTCTCAAATTCACATCTCTCGTTATATATGCATTACATACACATGTGTGTCTTTCATGTTAAAGCCACTTGTGCAAATTGAAAGGACATGGACAAACTCCTTTTTCATTTTTGTCCAATTTAATAAAAGTTTTACGATTAAAAAAAATGCCTCTAACCTATAGAATTTATGGAAAATGGCCTAAAATACTTCTGTAAACTTCGCCCATGTGCACAATTACCCTCCGTTAAATATTTAGCGCGTCTATGTCCCCGTCGTTACCCAATCGTAGTATTATTGCCCCTCTAGGCTAACGGGGCCTTAATTTAGCCTAATACATATTTAGGTTTTTTGCTTTGCATAATATTGTGCCGCATGTCTTAATTAAATGACCTAATTAATTCTTCACTTTTTTACTCGACCCCATTCTTATATACCTACTTTTCACTTTCCCCTTTATTATACTTTGACAAAAAAGATCGCACTCTCCAATATCAATGCATTTCAACTAGGGTTTTTACTGATGGGCATAATCGTGAGGAGGAGATTGGTTGACAATTGATGTCAACATCAAGGTTAGTAGATTTTATAATTCCTTTTTTAATTTTTAAACCCCTTTATTCTCCGTCGGGTTTACGGTTCTGAAAAGTCTTGTTCTTTTTTTTTTTTTAATTTATTTCTGGTACAATAACCGTGTGAAAATGATAGTTTATTGTGTAAAGTTGTGACTTTTATTGAAAATCATCTCCCAGCATTCAACGTAGTCCAAGCAACAAAATAGCTACCAACATTTCTACAGTAACAATTTCTCCTCAACCCTAGTTGAGACACTAGAAACACTCAGATATTTTTTTACGGGTGGAGATGTTGAAGATGACAGAAAAATTACCCTAAACCTAAACTTATTTAAAAATTTATGAAATGGCCAGAAAAATTGAGTTGAGATTAATGAAGAAGAAAAGAAAGAGGCGATGGAGAGTAAATAAAGGAAGTGGGATCGATAAAAAGGGTGGGGGATTGGTAAGAATTGATTAACATTAATTAAGAATTATTAATGGTGGCAGGAGGCTAAACTAAGGCCCCGCTAGCATAGAAGGGTAATAATACTACGATTGGGTAACGGCAAGGACACAAACAGACCAAATATTTAACGGAGGGTAATTGTGCACATGGGCGAAAAGTACAGGGGCAGTTTAGGCCCTTTGATTGTCCGCCGCTAATCTATTGGCTCCCTAAAGCCCTCTTCGTTTTCTTTTAGCTTCAAATTACTCCTAAAATTACTGATATGGACTTTAGGGAGCTAATAGATTAATGGAGGACAATCATCAACAAAAAATCGATAGTTTAGGGCATTTTTGGTCCTTTCTATTTTATTTATTTATTTCCTTTACGAGTCAATTCGAAATTGTAACTTCAAAATACCACTAAAATTTAGGGAATATAAGATATTACGTTCATAATAGACAAGACAAGAGCCTTATCCTGAGGACGGATTTAAGTATGTAAAAGATATTTATACTAAAGTTAATTATGAAGTAAATATAGATTAATCTAAAATAACGTTAACTGATACTCCAGTAAAAATGAAAATTAACCTACTATTTTAAGTAAAACTAGTAAACTACATTAATGACATAAAAATTTTGTATGCAATCAACATATTTAACTTAAATTAATTTCGAATATGGTATACAATATTAGGAATTTACACTAATATAGCCCATATAGTAATTGATTATTACATATTCTGAGAGTTTGACATTCTGTTTTAGATATCTCTAAGAATTCGAACCTCAACAAGTGGCGAAAAAAGAGCAATTTTCCAAATTGACGAAAAGGATGGAAGTGAATATTTTATGTTATATCCGATCAATGACTAATAAGAATAAACTTTTAATATTTAATTCTATTCGGGAGATCTTTACTTATTTTCCTCTTTCTTATATAAATAACTCAATTAAAATGCAATTATCTCTAAGAACAAAAAGTTTGTTTATGTTTAATACCTTTATTTGATTGGTAATGGTCCTTGCCGATCATCCATATAATATTAATAAATATTAAAAAAATGACAATGTACAGCCGCTGTAAAATAATAGCCAAAAAAATATATAAAACTTCACACACACACACACACACACACATATATATATACACACACACACACATTCTGTATGTTATATACAAAATTTATACCTATTTTATACACTTTTTCGATTACCAAATGTAAATAATTTCTGGCGCGGGCTAAAAGTGATAATACCCCGTAATATTCATAAAGGAACTCCATATATTTGAATTCTCTCTTTGAGTAAGACCCAAATTCCAAAGATGATTTCATTAGATATATCTTTAGATACCTTGGATACAAGTAAATATCCACTTAAAAAGAAAAATGGTTTAAATTAAATACTCATGTTTGGGTTTTTCATCTGCAGCAGTGAACAAAACAGTCTTCCAAATTCACCTATGTACCATGTCAGTATTTTTTTGATAACGATGGTGCTCGGGCCAACTTACACGCACCTCAACTAATTCCAACGAGTACCTGGTACCTCCCACCAGTGCAGATACTGAGTAACTCTATCCACTAACGCTTAGACAGATGGGAAGAAGTAACCTAGTATTTTTGTAGTGTTGTACCATGTCAGTATTAGTGCCAAAAAAAAAAGGAAAAAAAAAGGTTGTAAACAACATATTGATATAACCAAGTATAGAGCATCAAAACTGATCCTAAATCACAAGTATGTGCACAAGTTCCCTCGGCATATCCATGTTACAGCAGCTTTACAGATCACAAAGTTAGAAAACTGCTTGTGCCTCTAATATGATAGTATCTCCAGTTTATTACAATCATTGACAAACTAATATGTATAAGCACTACTAATGGAGAAACTTTAGAACAGAATCTAACTACTTTATCAAGAAAACTGATAAGGACTATGCTTTCCATGAGAAAAAAACGCGATATTTGATGCATAACCAAAGATCCTGTACATATAACACATGCTTTATCATGTCGAAAGATAGATGGAGAAAGAAAAGGGAAAGAAAGTAATACATACAGGAAAAAACAAAGACTAACTTAAGCTCTTGGGTAGCGTGATCGCCCCTTCTTTCTGAGGAACTCGGGAATCTCTACTGAACCACCTTCCAAAAAGGACGCAGGCCGTCTGTTACTTCCAAGTGAGGCATCTCCCTGGGTTAGTTGATTCCCCTGTAGTCGAACACCATAAAACATACATTACAGGATGACCAACACTTAGGGTCGTTTGGTTACTGGTTAGAGTTATGTGTAGATTAGTTATGCAGGGTTTAATTATATGGGATTAGTTATGCAGGGTTTAATTATGCAAAGTTTAGTTATTCCATCTTCTACCCTGCATAAAATAATACAGTACATGAATTGACTAACTTATACCTGTTTTATTTATGTGGAATTGTAAAATGATAACCAAACACCCTACTTGGTATGCTGAATTTTAAACAAAGCATCAAAAAAGCTACTGAACCTGGTAGCTATGCTAATATTAATACATGAATAACTCCCTACCCAACCAGCAGCCAAACGACCCTTAAGGTTTTTCAAATATAGCATGATGTGAAGGGAGAGGGTGGAAAAGAGGAATACCTGGAGAAGTCTCCCATCACTTTCTTCTTGACGCTTAAAACCAGTGGCGATTAGGGTTATGCTGACCTGCATCGCGTGGATAACGATGAGATTGACCAAGAAGAGAAATGTAAATTTGTTAGGACTTCAGGGGAAACAACTTCAAATTAGTAGTTAAAAAGTACCAAAATCAACTGATCTTCTACGTCTCAATACATTGAGACAAATTAGAGATATCTACAACTAGATGTTTTCTAAATCTCATCTAATCCCTACACTAATATATAAGCCTCAAAACCAACTAATGTTTTTTGCCTCCGCTGGGATTTGAACCTGAGACCTCATGGTTCTCACCCACTTCATTGACCACTAGGCCACACCTTTGGGTGGTTGTATTCCTCCATTTTATTGATCCTATTTTAATTTTGTGGTTCTTCATCTTCTATTATGTCATTCTCTTGGAAGCTTTGAGTCTAGATGCTCAATAGTTCGCATTTAGGAACCACAATCTGTCTAATCTCACTTCGCCGCATTCTTCTTGTGGGAGCTAAAGTTGTAATGCGTATTTTCTGTATTACACTTCTACTTATCATACGACCCTCCCACTATATAGTGCCTCTCTATAATTTCATTGGCTCATTTGCTAGCTTGTTAATTAACACAACCTCGTCCTATATACTACTAAAGAGCTCATTACTAGGGAAACTAGTATAGGCTCAAGTACGCTAACGGTTAGTTCATTCATAACACGCTAAATGTACAATGATGATAAATCATGAGAATGACAAGTGATAATAAGATCTTTTGTGTTGCAAAATTAGAAACTACTCATTTTGTCATGAACTGATAAACAAAAAATGATGTATAAAATGAAGCCAATGTTTACATCTGCTGCGTTTTTTTTTCAACGGAACAAAAATTTCACATCAACGGTACGTCGAAGAAGGCAGTACTTTTGAAGGCAAGTTTGTTTCTGTTTTCCAACTTTAAGCACCTAATCAACCAATTGGAAAAATGTTGGAAGGCAGGGAGCCATAAGGCTGCCTCCTCGTAGGTTCAGGTGTTTACAAAAATAGTAAACGCTCTAATACCATGTAAAAAAGAAATAATGAGGAAGAGAAAGTTGTAGAAGGAAGAAGAGAATGGAACTGATTATCTCTATAATTCTCTTGATTGTTCAACAACTTTCTCTTCTTCCTGTTCTCTTACTGCATGATATCAGATTCTTGCAATTTTGGTTGAGACATACTTTGAGAATATAATTATAATTTCTTGAAGATTTTTCATTTATTTTGTAAACCTAATTTTGTGCTATCCATTTTCTTAATGTCTGATTTTTATTTTTATTTTGCAACCCTTAGGACAATTACGTTCAGTTCCAAATTCAACATTCACATAAATAACAAGATTTATTTTTCATCCTTATCTCTGGTGCTAACCACCTGCACCCTGCACACAGCGTCCTTGTTTTTCTCTCTTTTACTAGCAATCCCTTAAAAAGCTCCCAAACTCTTTGCCTCTTCTGAATAGCAGCTTCTTTTTTTCTTTAAAATCAACTCTTTAAAACTCAAACAAAATTAAAGCGCATGCTATTATTGCTTCTCGCTTCTTATCGCTACACGCTTCTTCTACAGAAGCGCACGCTTCAGTGAAGTCGCGTCGCCTACCCTCTCTGAAACGCCAACCCACTCGCGTCGAGTCACTTCACGCTTTAAGCGCTGAAGCGCTCGCTTTCCCCAACCCTGAATACGTTGTAGCATTGATGCATGTCAAAATCCGCAAAGAATCATGTCACCAAAGAAATATTATAACCTAGTGAGAGATGCTAACATACCTGTCCACTTATTGATGGGTCTATCACCGCCCCAAAAATAAGGTTCGCACTAGGATCCACAAGGTCATATATAACCTCGGCTGCGGCATTTACCTAGTAAAGTGCCAAAGAGGACATGTAAGGATATGAAAGCTGACTTCACGAATTAGACAAGCCAGAAATTAGCATTGTTCCGGATACGCCAACGGACATAAAATACTGAATGCATACTATGATACCATTATCATAACAAGGAAAAAGATAAATTTTCTGCAAACTTGAAACTTGGAGGTCAGGAAAGGCTTTGAACTCAGACATGGAAACACATGAAAATCAGAGCATAACACCACTAGTACAGATGTTTCATATTTATATGTAATCCAGGTCATGGCTTAAAATGCCACCAAAATTAATACTTCCTCCGTCCAATTTATGTGGCGGCGCTTGACCCGGCACGGAGTTTAAGAAAGCAAGACGGACTTTTGAAACTTGTGATCTAAAACAAACCATAGATATTTGTGTGGCTGTAAATCATTTCACTAAGGGTACGCAGGAAGTTTAAAGTTAAATTATCTCTAAATAAGGAAGTATGACATTCTTTTTGAGACAGACTAAAACAGAAAGTACGACACATAAATCGGGACAGATGAAGTAACTATAAGCAAAATATATCATCTATTTCACAAATTAAAACTCATGATATACAACTAAAATAACTCAAGGTACAAAGACTGCACTGCATAAAACTCCCCCTATCTAACATAAGATAAAAAGAGTTTCAAGATATACTTTTACCTAAGAGCATGAAAACCAATTTCTTCCTTACAGTTCTAACTTATAATCTTGCGTCCCTTTCAGGATACAACTTCAGCGGAATCATGTCCAAGAATTATATCAAGAATAGCATAGGCCAATTGATTTTCTACAACCCCCATGGGCCTTTAAATAAAGCTTCTCTCTTATTTACTTTTTAAGAAACAACAACATAAGGAAATTCACAGAGTCATACATATCTTCAACAGAAAATGTCCACTGCAAGAAGTAAAAGGCTTTTACTGCAGAATCTTTTCTTCATTATGTAATATATGTCTACTTTCTTCAGTCAGTGAGAAAAAAGTTGGGTACCTCAAGTAATATATGGATGATTAATAAGTGCATCAGTGGAGAGGGAGTGAGAGCAGGAGAGAATAGTTGGGTACCTCAAATAATGTTAGATCACTACCACCAGTTATATTCCACACAATTCCAGTAGCCCTCTCTATACCAATGTCCAGTAAAGGAGATTGAATGGCGTTCAACGCTGCATCTCTGGCTCTGGTCTTTCCTGTGACGTCAACGAACAATATCATTTCTCTTCTTGACTAGTTAGTACCAGTATCAACAGATCAATCCATTCTTGACAAAAAAACATATCTCGTTAGCAGCAATAGCCTCACTACTAAATACAACTATTTGGGAGATACAGAAAGTGCGCATAGTTTCAACTTTCCGCAAGAGGAAAAGCCAGAAGTAAGAAAGGTTCCAGCAAGAAATGGACCATCAATCACTATTATTAGCAAGCTATGCCAAAAAAGCAAATAGAAAGGTATAGCTTGGAAGGTAAGGAAGTTTGGAAGAAGCTGATAAATGCCATCTACGGAAAAAATGAAGGGTGGAGGACTGTAAATGGGTGAATATGGAAGAGCATAAGTAGGAGAGTTTAGTCAGTTTACTAGATTAGAGGTGGGAAATGGAGTAAAAATCAGGTTTTGGACAGATTTATGGGTTGAAGATGATTGTTTTAAAAATAAATTTCCTACTCTATTCAATTGTTCAACATATAAGGATGGTACTGTTGCTGAGTTTCATTCTAGTTCTGGTTGGCAGATTGTCTTCCGAAGAAATTTGAGTGATTGGGAAATAGTAGAATTTTGCGAGCTGGATACTCTAATCTGGCTGGCAAGTAAAGACAAGAAATTTTCAGTCAAGAATTGCTACAGTATGTTGATAAAGCAGTCAGGACAGTGCGATACTTCTTGGCCATGGAGGATGATATGGAAGACAAAAGCTTCTGTGAAAGTAGCATGTTTTTGATGGGTCGCCACCTGGGAGGCATGCTAACTCAAAATAACTTGCAAAAGAGAGGGTTTTCCCTATGTAACAGATGCGACCTGTGTCAAGAGAATCAAGAAACAGTTGACTATTTGTTCCTCCACTGCAGATTTTCTAGAGAATGCTGGGAGTTATTCTTAAAGATTTGTGGTATTGCATGGGTGATGCCTCAGAATGTGGAGGGGCTGTTGGCAGGTTGGCAGCATCAGGTGATATCAAAAGAGATAAAGCAAATATGGAGAACTATCCCATTGTGCATCTTATGGACAATATGGCTGGAAAGGAACAAGGCTTGTTTTTGAAGGACAGAGATCTCAAATTGCTAGAATTAAGAGTATTTGTTTACAAAATTTGTATTTCTGGTGCAAATCAATCCCACTAGTTAGTTCAGATCAGTACATGGATTTCATGGAGTTGTTAGAAAGAAGATTGTAGCAGGCTGATTTTTGTTTCCTTGTTATTTTCTGTACCATCTTGGTACCAATCAATAAAATATTTTCTTATCAAATAACAAACCAAAAAAAAAAAAAAAAAAAAAAAAATCTGCAGCCAAATAGCATCCAATAATAGGAGGAAACTCATAGAAACATGTCAGATGTGTTCAGTTCCAAGAACTTTTATTTTTCCGTTTTCCCTAGCGGGAACATGTCAGATGTGCTCAGTTCCAAGAGTACTATATTACAACAAACTTTCTCATAATACAATATTTTAGTCAATTGGTGGACAACTTTTCAAGTAAAAGCAATAAAAAAAAATTGAGAATGAGTTTAGACAATATGGATAAATTCTGAAACTACAAAAACTCTTTAGATCAGCTACAGCGCATTCATTTTTTTTGTTTAAGGGCACAAAAAATGATTTAATCGTTTCTGTGTGTCTTAGTAGGCCACATCATCACATCACACAGATGGACTCTAAATCACGTGACATTATAAATTAAAAGGAAATCAACAACGAGAATTGGCTTAGTGCCAACAACTATCAGAAAGAGCTTTGTGAACTTACCCGTAGCGGTTCCTATTCCCATTAACGAGGAACCAGCATTTGCCATAATAGCACGCACGTCAGCAAAATCCACATTTACTAGCCCAGGAATCTGTAATTCAGGCAGATATATGCAACTTAAGAAAATTCTAATATGCAATCCAATTGGTTCAAAACATTGAATAAAACACAACTGAGAAAATGATGAGGTGACAATGGCAGACTTTTGGAAAAGGTTAAACAAAATGCAGAAACATGAATACTTGGAGAAATTATACACTGAATTACCGAGGTCGCCATCCCCCACCACCATCACCAAAAATGGTAAACTTCCCCAATCAAGTCTTATTGTAGTTACGGGCCAGTTTGTCCAAAGGAAGGAACTAAGCATCGTGAAATCAATTTTAGGGCATTACCAATTCTAGTTTGGGATTAAGACATAGTTGATTGATTGATTAAAATCAAATCTAGGCCATGCATTAGGCCAATCAAAGTTGGACAGCATGTAAAGAGCATCATGTATTAAAAGGCAAAAATAATTTAGCAGCATAACAAGAAGAAAAAGTGTGAATATGAATATATGTGTGTGTGTGTGTGTGTATATATTAATAAAATAAAGTTTTACTAATGATTGTAAATAGCACAAATACACAGAAACGATATACAGATCCGGCTAAGCCTGTGAATGACTCAGAACCTCATTAGAGTATTTACTTCATATACATCTTTCAGTTTACATAAGGAGCAGGGGAAATAGATATTTACCGTAATTATATCAGAAATACCACGAACTCCTTGCCGAAGAATATCATCAGCCAGGTTAAAAGCTTCAGTTACTGGGGTCGATGGAGAAACAGCTGTCAACAATTTGTCATTTGGAATGACAATTAGAGTATCGACATTTTCTCTCAAAGCAGCAATCCCTTCTTGGGCTTGAACTGCTCTTCTTCGCCCCTCGAAAGAAAAGGGGGTTGTAACAATACCAACAGTTAAGATACCCATTGATTTGGCAGTTCCTGCAATTATAGGAGCCGCACCGGTCCCTGTTCCTCCACCCATTCCAGCCTGCACATAACATGTTGGAGACCACATGTGAGGAAGAAACAAAAGTGGGAGAGAAAAACATGAAGGGAGCTTTGGAGCAGCAGTGAAGTTGTCTCCATGTGACCTATAGGTCACGAGTTTGAGCCGTTGAAGCAGCCACTAACGCTAGCGTTAGGTAGGCCGTCTACATCACACTCCTCGGGATGCGGCCTTTCCCAACCCTACGTGAATGCGGATGCTTTGTGCAGTGGGCTGCCCTTTCTTTTTCTAGGGCAAAACATCCTTTTTGATGAGCATGCTGAAAAATGTCTCTTCACATTAAGAATTTTAACTGTGACTCCCGGACATCATTTAATGTTCATAAAAGCTTGGTATGGGACTTTACTGATACTATGATCTGGCCATGCTACAATCACCAATTCAGTTACCGTCCATTTATCCTTGTACCAATATAGCCTCTCATTCATTTATCCATTTTTTTCTAGGCTTCAAAAGTTTATTAACTCTTTGTAAGGATGATGTAGTAAAACCAGATCCTTTCTCATGAAATACATTTACTTTGTTATAGATACTTCAAGTTTGAAAGAAACACATAAAATGGGACACAAGGAGTATTTCATTGTAACAGATACTTCAAGTTTGTTTAAGGTAGCGTTATTGCTTCCGCTCATTCTCCTCAAGCTTGAAGCATATGCAATACGAAGGCAATAGGCGGATAGAACAAAGAAAGATCAGAAGTTGCTATACAATAGTAAATGAAATCTAAACTTCTGACGACCAGAGAGCGGAAAAGAAACAAAGGAAAGAATAAGGTAAATTTCAAATAACCGCAAACTCCTTTTTCCAATAAAGTAATCAAGTTAAACAAAGGCTGAACTTACAGTAACAAAAACCATGTCTGCGCCATAGACAGCTTCTTCAATCGCCTGCTTGCTTTCGTTGGCAGCATTCATCCCTATATCTGGATTACCACCTGCACCAAGTCCCCTTGTAAGTTCTTGACCTATCGGCAGTCGTTGCTCAGCCGCTACAGGTGACATCCTCATTGCTTGAATATCAGTGTTCACAATCCAAAACTCTACACCTTTCATCGAACTCTCAATCATGCGATTTACTGCATTCGATCCGCCACCTCCTACGCCAACCACCTTGATCTTCGCCTCATTAAAATTGTTCGAGCGTGACGAATCCATCAAGCTCTCGGTTACATTTCCGCTCGAGCTTTCTTCGCCTCTAAGCAACGAAATTTCAGGATGCAAATTCAGAAAGGAATCTTTATTTTGATATTGGTTGACGCTACGGGAATTGGCAGAACACTTGAACTGAGGCAAACTTGAACTACCCTTTTGGTTAACTCCCCAAAATCCAATCTTCTCATCTTGCATTTTCAAGGCGCAAAGTCTTCCACCAAGAATAGTCAATGATCCACGAGACCGTCGCGTATCAGGAGGCATAAACACAGCTGATGTACAAGTAGCCATAACAGCAAAATCCCAGACTCAACTCAAACTAATCTAATTATCCCGGGAATAAAAGAATACAACCAACCACCTAAATAATATCTGAAAATTCAGCCCAATATTTTATTTCAGCCCCTGTAAAAAATAAAACAGAAAACAAGAATCACATATGAATATTGGGACGGAGCTACCTACAGTGACCGATTGGGTGGTCACTTGAACACAAACAGCAACAACTACGCCTCAGTTCCAAACTAGTTGGGGCCGGTGATATGTATCCTCAATTTTTCATTTAGGTCAACTCATATCATCATCATTAAATAAATAAATAAATAATAACAACAATAATAATAATAATAGAAATTATCTAGCAAGTCTAAAATCTATTCCCAACGTAGGTATCACCTATATGGGTTTCCTCTTCCATTGAACACCCTTACCGAAATTTTTTTTTATACACTTTCTCCGGAAAAATTATATTATTAATATACAACAAATATTACTTTTTATACATATCCATTAACTTTTGAACATCCTTAGCGATATTTCTACCTTCGCCACTGCATGTGGTTTAAGGAAACTTGTAAAGGGTAGCTGTAAAGAGTTTCCAATCCTCAATAATATAAAGATACTAACAAATATGGATTGTCAAACTCCAAAAACTAGGTCACAGTTTTCCTAGTTAACGTTAACACAGCCCAAATAGCAGCAAAGCAAAAAACAAGAAGAAAATGCAATAGCATGAACAGAATATAAAGAGCATAAGAAAAACCCACAAAGAAAACAACCTCATAAGAATAAAAAACTTTAGAATTAGGGGCGGAGCTAGAGTGTCAGGTACAGGTTTGGTCAAACCCAATAGCTTTGGTTCAAATTGTGTATTTGTCTTAAAATATTCATTCAATATGATACAAATTATTAATTTAGAACAGTACAGTAACTTGGATTACAATCTCCAACCCATAAGCTTCAAATTTTGGCTCCACTTCTGCTTACAATTGTATAGATTGTATAAAGGTTCTAATTGTAAACCTAAAGCTTTATCAATAAACTGTGAAAAAGGAACAAGATGTAGAGAGAGAAAATGCAAGCCTGAAATTGAAGAGAGAGAAAGCCCGGAGTTTTGGCTACCGATGGTGTTGTTGTCCTCTATTCACACATACACACACAGTAGAGTAGGACTAGTAGAAGTGTTGGCAATTTTCCATTTTTCAATTTTTTGTTAGTTTCTGAAGGGCTTTTGGCTGTGTTGACCCTTTAGCCCCATTTCTAAAATATCTTTTGCACATTCTACCAAAACTAGTTAAGTATTAAAATCATTCACATGAATTGCTTAAAGAATCACCTTTACCTTTTGCTTTTTAGATTCATTCTACTTTATGTGAAACTTCTTTACTAGCCAAAATCAATATTTGTGGGCGTTTGGACATAAGAATTGTAAAATTCCAAAAAAAGTGAAAATTTTTGTTCAGAAAAAATAGTACTTGAAAATTAGAGTTGTGTTTGTACAGAAATATAATTTTGGGTTGTTTTTTAAATTTTGTGAATGATCTGAGCAAAAAATTTGAAAAATAGTGGAGTTTTTCAAATTTTCGGAATATTTCAAAATCTATCTTCAAGTGAAAATTGGAAATTTTATGGCCAAACACTAATTTTTTAAAAAAGTAAAAATAAAAAAAAAAGTTCTTATGTCCAAACGGGATCTAAATATTAAAATCATTCACATGAATTGCTTAAAATCTCCTCTCTTTTTTTTTTATGGAAAAGAAAAATCAAATAGTCTTTCCATCTCAATTTGTTGATATACTTCGGATTTTGGGAGTTTTGACCACAAATTCGAATATAAAATTTTTAAATTTATTGAAATAAAATTAATATCTTTAAAAAAAATTACATAAAACCACTAGATTCAGTAGAAACAGCTTAACACTTATTCAAATTCAAAAATGTAACGTGTACTTCGACCGTCTTGTATAATGTGACAAGAAGGGGATGATATGCGTAGTAGGGTTCGAATGGTCGAACTTACAATATGATTTATAAGTATTATGTTTCAACTAATTAAACTATAAGTCCCTACGGATCTCTATATGCAATTCACTTGCTTTAAAAATAGCAGACAAAAAAACGAAAGCAAAATGTTTGTCATATCGATATCAAAATATAAATAAGTTATATGTTTTAAGTTTCTTACACACTCCCTAAAAAGATATCTAACATCCTTATTCATAAGAATATTTGTATAAATTATCCTTTATCTTTCTCTTAAAATTTTCACTTAATTCACACTAGTAATTAAAAAATTAACGATAAATTTGAAAAAAGAAAAATAATAATTGATATTTTAGTTTTTTAAAACGTTAAATATTTTCGAACAAATTTAAATGATCAATATTGGGGATAGGAGGAAGTAATAGATGATATGGAAAAAGGTCCAAATATGTCCCTGAACTATTGAAAATAGAGCAATTATACCCTTCGTTTGCATTTGGGTACAAAATTGCCCTTACCGTTAATAAAGTGGCTCACTTTTGCCTCTCCCTACTAACAGACTCTACATCAAGGACAATTTTATACCCAAAATACAAACGGAGGGCATAATTGCTCTATTTTCAATAGTTCAGGGATATATTTGTCCTTTTTCCGTATAAGATATTTTTTTTTGCTGAATTGAAAATCCATGTTGGAGAAAAAGACTTTTCTGTAAAAAAAAAAAAAAAAAAAAAAAAAAAAAAAAAAAAAAATGTCGTGCCATACCTTTTACGTAGTAATTACTACGATGACGAGAAATCTCACCGAAAAATCTGATCACAACCTCTAGCTTCACTTTTTTTACTTATTATTTTCTTACTGGATTAAATTCATGTGATTTGATTTTTATATTCTTTGAACTTCTAACCTCCCATGTAAGATAACCAAATAATACCCCATTAGAGGGACTCGAATTCGGATCTGCTCAAAGAATACAATGCCACTGTTTATCATTGATGTATCCGTAATAGAATGACCTTTTACATTGTAATATCAATTCTTAATGCAAAATCTTATTATTAGAGTACCAAGTAATTAATGGTGAAATTTTTTTTCGTTTCGTCTTCGTATTTTAATTTGCAACCGCATATCGATACATCCATAAGTTACTATCACAAATTTCACTTTTACATTTCTCAGAAGTGAGTATTTGGGTACGAAATTGTGCCCTCCTTTTGTATCCAAATGCAAACGGAGGGCATAGTTTCTCTATTTTTAATAGTTTAGGGGCATATTTTGATCTTTTTAACTCGGCAATAAAGTATTATTTTATACGGAAAAGGGTCAAATATGTCTCTGAACTATTGAAAATAGAGCAATTATGTTCTCCATTTGTATTTGTCACGACCCAAAATCCCACCACATGAGCCGTGATGACACTTAATCTCTAAGACAAAGTAAGCTGATTATATTAACAATTCAAGCCATTTTTTTTGTAATAGAATCTAATACAAGGGTCGAAACCAACAGCGGAAACAATTACACAACCTCCCAAGACTGGCAATACAGAGTCACGAACTCTAACCGAATACATGGAAAGACCTCAAAATCAAAATACAATACTGTTCAATGATAATTGACGGTACATTATAAGGAAAAGACTCTAAGGGACTGCGACGATCAGGCAGCTCTACCTCGAGTCCTTATGATCACAATCTAACTCCGCTCGAGTCTGATTTTCTCCAATACCTGGCGCCGCACAAAAATATGCAGAAGTGTAGTATGAGTACAACCGACCCCATGTACTCAGTAAGTATATTGTCTAACCTCGTAGAAGTAGTGACGAGGCTTTTTAGTTAAAAGATATTCACTGTACAACTTGTGCAGTAGACTAACAATAGAAACGGTTATAGAACATAACAGATAAGGGTACAATAAAACGGCTATGCGAGGCAGCAAATGATTATTAGGAGAAATTGCAATGGTAGATTCATAACTTTTTTTTTCCTGGTGTGAATAATGTATTCAAGATACCAAATTGAATGGCACGGTAACACCTTCATGCATTTATCTCATTCTCACCCAATATATGTTTGTATATCAAATCAACTGGCACGTCAACACCTTTCGTACATTTATTTCTTTCTCACTGAGTATACATATAAATGTACCAACTAGGTGGGAGAAATACTAATAACAATAATTATAAGGTGGAAAGTACACAAGTAGAAATAACGAATAATGCAGTGCATATGGGCAACAGTAACAGACTAGGTGGAAGGCATAGAAATTATAACAGCAATTAGGAAAAAAGAATATAAATTTCGTTAACTAGCATGGTATAAGGCTTAATGCAAACATAACAACAAGAAGAATATCATAATATTTGCAAGTTAAACAGATAGAAAACATGAATATATACACAACGAAAAGATATCACAATATAATGTATGTCTCTCGTCCTCGCATGCACGAAAACACCCTTCGTGCCATGAACATATATAATATAAAACATGATAATGTAACCGAAATGGCACGGCATCACCCTTCGTGCCTTTACTCTTATCCTCGCATGAAAATGTGCATGATGTCATAATAATATAATTGAAATGGCACGGCATCATCCTTCGTGCTTTACGCTCTTCCTTACATAATAATAAAATATAAAATGGAACGGCATCACCCTTCGTGTGTTTACTCTCATCCTCACGTGATAATGTAAATGAAATGGCACGATATTATCCTTCGTGCATAATAATATATATGAACGGCACGGCATCACTTTACACTCTCCCTCTCATGATAATGTATATGAAATGGCACGGCATCAGCCTTCGTGTTTTACACTCTCCCTCTCATGATAATGTATATGAAATGGCACGGCATCACCCTTCGTGCTTTTTACTTTTTCCTTACCAAGCACATGTATATCATTAACAAGCAAGTGGGGAGCATAAATAACATCAAGGAGAGTGTTTAAATGAATATTCCAATTGAACACCAATCACGAATTTCAAGTCAATAGCAATTCAATAAATCCCAAGTACTTTATTATTCAAGTATTTCAACAAGTCTCAAAAACGACCTTCAACTCAAGTATAGAATTCAAAATCTCAAGAATAACAATCATAGCAATGTATTTGTGATCAAGTATAATGACGACTGGATTTAGCACATCAATAATTTCATAACAAGTCCGTCAATATTTTAATCAAATTATAATAAATCATTGTTTCTAGCATTTACTTTCATATCCATAGAAATCTAGAAGTCAAAGAAAATGTGAAACAAGAATATCACATAATTCTACAAAGCACAATTAATCATATAATTTACTCTCGAGCATATTTAATCCTGGCACATGCATATATGCTCATCACCTCATATATGTATCACCCACGAATGTAGCAAACAATGCCAATTAGTAGGAAAAATTTCCTCAACAAAGTTAGGCAACACACTTACCTTTACGAAGTTAGGCCGACACTATAAAAAGCCTTCTTGCTTGAATTGACCTCCGGACAGTTCAAATCTATCCAAATTAATTGTATAACTTTATTAAAATTCATCGGAAATAATTCCGGATAATAAAACGTCGACTTAAATTTTCACATTAAAAAGTCAACCAAAAGTCAATGCGGGACCCGCCTTACGAAACCCGACATAATTTTCACGAAATTCGAACGCTTTTAATTGGTAAAAATACGAGTTTAACCATACCAATTTTATCAAATTCCGATAACAAATCGACCTCCAAATCTTAAATTTTTGTTTTGCAAAGTTTTACAAATTTCTCCAATTTCTTCCATTTGATTCACTAATAATTAATGAAAATAACCATGGAATCACGAAATATAATAAAATTTGGATATAGAACACTTACCCTAATCCATATAGTAAAAAGTGCCTCAAAAATCACTTCAATCCGAGCTCCGTAGGTCCAAATATGTTAAAATGGCCGAAACCCTCGTTTTAAGAATCTGTCCAGGCAAGTCGCATTTGACATTTGCGATTTGCCTCAGCCCAGAAAAACAGCCTGTAGGTTTTCTGTACAAATGTTCAAAATAATGAATGGTTTAACTTTCTGGAAACTAGACACCAAGGGCTATAACTTT